TGTTAAAAATCTGCAACTGCACGGTGGATAAATAACCTCAAACATTAGGACATCAATGGAACACAACGTTTGATTATTCTCAGATTAATGTTGGTGAATCACGGAGTTTAGATGCGTGTTAATGGATTCATTTGAATCTAATCCCTCATTCAGATCTCTTCTGAAGAGGGGTGGGGGGACATTAACGTCACACTGGAGACGCGCAATTAAGTCACATAAATCTGCAAAACGATCAACTAAAATCCCATAATTGAGCTCAAGATCATTAAATTTCCCGAGTTTCAACTTGACGGACCTCACTGACCTCAGACCTGACCTCGGGGAGGAAACGGTCAAATCCCAGCGGAGTTGGTCATCGATCCGTTGTGGGTCGGTCCGGTTCGGTCCATGATCCCTCCCGGATCCAGATCCCTGATCCCGTCTCCAACATCCCGTCCGGTTTGGAGCGGACCGGAGACTTTTTCCCCGGAGAAAGACGCCGTTTTACGCACCGGCCGCGCGCCATCTGCGCCAAACGGGGAGCGCAAAGCCACCGGCTGCACGCGCCTCTGCGGCCGGTTTGACACGCGGACTGGACCGGAGCTCGGACAGCCTCTCCCGCGTCGGGGGCGCGCAGCGCCGCGCGCCCCCGTGGACGCACGGCGACCAAAAAAGGAGAGAACGGGCCAGAGGAGCCCAGAGGGACAGAAATAGAGCAGAGACAGCAACTGGGGCGTGAACTTATGTCCTCTGCGAGCAAAACCACCGTCTGGTGTCCATCCTGAGGCTGCAGGAGCGCGTGCGCGCGGACATTTGATCCGGTGCTGGTAATGGCACACATGGGGAGTTGGGAGGGTTAAGGGGTTTAAGTGTATCTTATTTGGTTAAACTGGCAACTTTCATTCCCAGTTCCACCTCTTAAACAGACTTTTTGCACGGGTTTTTGGGACAGTAAGTGTTTTAAGCCCCTTAAAAATCAGTTAAAATCCTTAAAAAATCACTTAAACCCCAAAGAGAGTCGCGAGGGGGGATTTTTAAGGGGTTTAAGTGATTTTTATCTGGTTTAACTGGCAGCTTTCGTCCCAGTTCCACCTCTAAAACAGACTTTTTGTACAGGCTGCTGCAGGTTTTTGGGACAGTAAGTGTTTAAACCCCTTTAAAATCACTTAAAATCCTTAAAAATCACTTAAAATCCTTAAAAATCACTTTAACCACAAAGAGAGTCGCAAGGGGGGGATTTTGAAGGGGTTTAAGTGGTTTGTATTTGGTTTAACTGGCAGCTTTCCGTCCCAGTTCCACATCTTAAACAGACTTTTTGCACAGGTTGCTGCAGGTTTTTGGGACGGTAAGCGTTTTATTTATTTACTTTTCCAAGGGACAACATAAAATCCAGATCACGGATCTCTGAAAAGAGAGACAGCTGTCAGAGGAGAGGCCTAACTCTCAGAGAGCAACTGCAGCTCCAGGCCACAAAAACCTCCCAAAATAGCAGAGGAAATAGAGGTTTGCTCCCTGGAACCAGCGTTTCTGGAGTCAGAGAGGCTGCTTACAGGCGGTTCTGTGGTTAAACCTGTAAATAAAAGCTGAAAAGTGATCTTGGTTCTGTCTAAAACTACCACATGGGACCAGAAAAGCCGGCGTTTTCCTCCATCTGTGGATTAAATCCATTTATTTTCAGCCCAAAGCTGCTCCTCAAACTTCCTTTTGTGGCCCCGAGCAGGTGAGAAGTGAGTAGATGGAAAACAAGCAGGACCAAGTCGGGTTTTGACGCTCTTTATTGACAAATATTTCCTTTTTTTTTTTTTTACCGAGTACGTCACTAATGAGTCCGAGCTCATTTGATCTTTTCAGGAAGTTCATCAAACTCCCAGCACATGCATTAAAACCCTCTTAGAAACGTTTCTCCCTGAGGCTGTAGAGGTGTGAAAGCTGGAAAACGATCCGAAAACAGGCCCAGTTATGAGCAACACATTCAAATAAGTTTAAAAACACCTCTGGGGTGGGATGGGGGGGGTTTGTTGGATAAACGTCCTGCTCCTAAGCTGGACCGAAGGCAGCTGGACTTCTTCTTCTTGGATCTTGGGCTTCTTCAGATCTGGTGAGGATTCCTGGTGATTCGTGAAGGTAGCAAACATCCCGATTTGGCCAAAAACTGGTCGTGGTTTGCTTTAGTTCTTCTGTTTTAAAGCCCTTTGTTTCCATCCTTTCACATTAAAAGCGAGTCTGCTCGTCCATTTTTACTCGAGTCCGTTTGTTTGTGTGGTTTTTTTTTGTGCGACCGCATCTCTGGAGGGATGAATCCAAAGCGACTTAAAACAATTTTAGAGTTATCAACATGACTATAAGTTCTCTAGAAGAAAAGTCCCAGTCAGAGTTAGTGGAGAAAACAAAAGAGAAAGAAGGAAGCAAGAAAGTGGAGTAGAGGTATACAGAGGTCTGGGGAAGAGTTAGGATAGGAGATGATCTGTGGAGAGGTGGGTCTTTAAGAGTTTCCTAAAGATAGAAAGCGCCTGGTAGGTCGTTCCACCATCTTGGAACGACACCTGAAAACAGTCTGGATTGTCTTAAGGGTTGTTTAGACACTGATAGACGACAATCTGTTGATGACCAGAGGGACCAGCTGGAACATGAACCTCTGAGAGGGTTCAGGTAGACGGTAGCCGGACCCTTAAGCACTTTGTAGGCATCAGGGACCTGGATTTGATGCGGGTAACCAGGGGTAACCACGGGTAACCGGGGGCAACCAGTGAGGCTCGGTGAACAGAGGGGTGACGTGAGACTTTTTGGGCTGATTGAAGACCAGACACCGTGTTCTGGACGTTGTCCATCCTGTTGTTTGCACATAGAAACGGAGGTGAGTTAAAGCCTGATCGTTTAGCCGGACGCCATTTTCTCTTCCCTCCCGAGGACCCGGGGGGGATCGGGGGCTAGCAGGGGAGCCGGTGGTCGGCGCGAAGCGTCAGGGGGCTGCTGTAGGCGGAGTCCCAGTCCCGCTCGAACACGGCCTGCAGCTGGGCCTGGAGGGTCGGCGCCACCTGGGACGCCGCCGTCTGGTTGACCACCAGCGCCGAACCCGCCGTCCTCTCAAAGTAGTCGCCCGACCAGTTGGACGTACCTGGGGGCAGAGAGAAGAGGGTCAGGATGGATATCCAACGCCGCCAACATCCAAGTCGGCCATTTTGATTAGGTCACCAATAGGAAGACCCCAGGCAAGAAAATGCTAGTTGCTTCATGGCAATATAGACATTCATTTAAGAATAGTTAAATGAATCTTGCAAACGCTGAATTAAACTCTATCCATAATATTATGTTAAAATAGTGGATGTTAAATAGGTTTGTACAATAAGTCCAAATAAGTTTAACCAAAAAATGTTTATTTCTCACAATTATGAAGGGTGGAGGGTTAGGGTCAGGGTCAGATTTAGGGTTCGGGTTAGGGTCAGGGTCAGGGTTAGGGTTATGGGTTAGGGCTAGGTTTAGGGTCAGGGTTGGGTTTAGGGTCAGGGTTAGGGTTAGGGTTAAGGCTAGGTTTAGGGTCAGGGTTAGGGTTGGGTTTAGGATCAGGGTTAAGGACAGGGTTAGGGTTATGTGTTAGGGTTAGGGCTAGATTTAGGGTCAGGGTTAAGGATAGGTTTAGGGTCAGGGTTAGGGTTGGGTTTAGGGTTATGGGTTAGGGCTAGGTTTAAGGTCAGGGATGGGTTTAGGATCAGGGTTAGGGTTCGGGTCAGGGTTAGGTTTAGGGACAGGGTTAGGGATAGGGTTAGGGTCAAGGTTAGGGTTAGGTTTAGGGTGGTGCCGGCTTACCAACGTAGGCCACCCGGTCGGTCACCATGTACTTGTTGTGGTTGACCCGGGCGAAGGGGATCTCCTTCTGCTGGGGGGTGGAGGGCACCACAAACAGCCTCTGGACACACAAACGCCACATCAGGAGCCGTCAGAGGGTGATTTCCAATAATAAAATAAAATAATAAAAAAAGATTAGAAATAGCATATGTTAGCCATGATTGTAACTAGTTGTAACAATAAAAACTAGTGGCTAAATTTAAAATAAAACCAAGGGAATAAATAAAAAGGGAAATGTCCAGCGAATACAAGTCAGCGTTTAATTCTGAGTTTTGGATTTGAGCTGAGAGGGAAAACAGCTGTCCAGGGTTTGGACATGCGAAAGCCGTCTGACAACGCCGACTTGTACCTTAAAAACATCTTAAAAATAAATCAAGATGGCGACTGAGTGTGGCGTCTCCACCACCAAACCCAGACTGGACCGTCTCATCAGGTTAGACTCAGATTAAAGGAAATGACATTAAATAATATTATGGCTGTTGTGTTATTGTGTGTGCGGATGCGCCTACAGAGCGTAATGTTTCTATACGTTTATGGCGGGGGGTCAAAGGTCACCTGCACCGTTACTTTGTGTGTTTTGTATGAAGAGTGAAAAGAGTGAAAACCATTTAAAAATATTTTTTCTTCTGGATGCATCTAAATCTCATAATTGTTCCAAAGTCATGAAACTATTTTAAATGCATTGAAGCCAATTTTTTTCCACCCGTTCACAACCATTAAGAGAAATTTTAAAAAGCCTGTTATTTGACTTCTCCCTTAAACTCAGTCAGAAATAACTTTAGAGTAAATTGAACTTCCACAGCCGCCATTTTGAGTCTGCGATCAGCACGGAAACACTGAATAAAAAGTTTAGATCACCAGTAATCCAGGTCACCTGTGGAGGGGAGGGGGTAAACTGTGTGTGTGTGTGTGTGTGTGTGTGTGTGTGTGTGTGTGTGTGGGGGGTTACTCACCACCTGAATGTCCAGCCGGCTGGCGGCGTCCTGCACGGCGGCCAGCGAGCGCAGGAAGGGCAGCATGGCGGGCTGCGTCTGGGCCCAGCAGCTGACCAGCAGCCGCACGCGCACCCGCCGCTCGTACGCCGCCCGCCGCAGCTGCGTGTCGATGTCCGCCCAGTACCTAAAACACCGGGGGGGGGGGCAGACGCCATTTAGTGCTGTCACAATACTAACATTTTCCATACTCGATACCGGTACTCAGGAAAATACTCAATACCATTATCGATACCACAAGGATAAACAAAAAGACCCCAAAATGGAACTGAATTTTGACAGGTTAGTGACTTTGGGTTCAAACTGACCTGTTACTAATGTTATGGTGGCCAGTGGCCCACATTAGCCGCAGCTAGCAATTCAAGGCTAACGTCACGCTAATGATCATACACAACGTAAATAAATACCCTCTTTGTTGTCTGGTTCCTTCAACCATTTTAAACAAAAGTTATGCTGATATGAAGTCAATGTTTAACGTTTAGGTTCATTATATTACATCCAGAATCTGCTCCTCTAACTAACCTTTTACCCAACTTTCTAACCTGGAAAAACAAAACGAAAGGTCCAAAAAGGTAAAAAAAAAAAACCCAACTCTTTGATGTCCCGTTTCTTCAACCATTTAAAAAAAAGTTCTGCTGATATGAAGCCAATATTTAACATTTAGGTTAATCCAATTAGCTCAAGAATCTGCTCCTCTACATAACCTTTACCTGAGTTTCTTAACTGGAAAAACAAAATGAAAGGTCCAAAAAAAGTTTAAAAAAACAACTCTTTGTTGTCTGGTCCTTCAACCATCTTAAACTAAAGTTCTGCTGATATTAAGTCAATGTTTAACATTTAGGTTCATTAAATTAGATCCAGAATGTGCTCCTCTAACTAACCTTTTACCTGACTTTCTTACCTGGAAAAACAAAATGCAGGGTCCAAAATGGTATAAAAAAAACTAATAAAAAATAACTTTCTTGTCTGGTTCCTTCAACCATATTAGGCAAATATCCTGTTGATATCAAATTAATCTTTAACGTTTAGGTTCATTAATTAGATCCATAACTAACCAACTTTCTGACCCTGGAAAAACAAAATGAAAGGTCCAAAAAAAGTACCAAAATGTGTGTAAAAGCTGCTTTTGAACCTTTAATAATTGGCATCTAATAGTTCAGAGGAGCCTCCAGAGGCCCAGAAGGGGGCGGAGCTACCTCTTGGGGTGCGAGAACTCCATGGTGGGCAGGTAGTTCATGACGGCGATGTAGATGAAGCTCTGGGCGTCCGCCACCACGCCGAGGACGGCCTGCAGGTCCGGCGTCCGGCCGGCCGCGCACAGCGCCGGCGGCGAGCTCTGGGGGGGATAATCAGAGGTCAGGGGTCAGGGGTTGTAGTGGATGATTGTCTCGCAATGCATATATTCCGCCGCCCACCCTGAGCCATGGTTCTGCTCAAGGTTTCTGCCTGTTAAAAGGAAGTTTTTCCTTGCCTGTGTCACCTAGTGCTTGCTCACGGTGGGAATTGTTGGGTTTCTGTAGTTAACTTCAGAGTAGGGTCTGACCTGCTCTGTTTGGAAAGCGCTGTGAGACAACTGTTGTTGTGATGTGGCGCTATATAAATAAAATTTAATTGAATTGAATTGAATATATTCATGTGACAGTAATTATAGTCATGTCACAGTAGTAAGGAGTAAATAGGGAGATAATGTGGGAGGCGGTGGAAACAGCCAATGTCCAGATGTCAAACTAATTGAATAAGAAAATAATGAGGGTGGAGGTAACCAGAGGGTCAATGACGTGTATCACCATTGAAACCATGGGTAGATACTGGATAAAGACCAGAATGAACAATGGCGTACAAACAGGGAGGTGGGGCGAGAATGCCCATTTAAAAAAAAAAAGCACATCCTAGGGTAATTTCCACCGGTACAAAATCGAATAAAAGAGATATCCGTGGAACATGACCTGAAATTACGTCATAAATAGGAGGGGCTCGGGGAGGAGCCCCAAGACCCAGGGAGTGTATATAAGCAGACCACTTTTCCCAAGAGAGCAGGTGTTAGCCTGGCTAACAGCTCATGTGGTTGACTTGTATTTGCTGCAATAAACCACTCTGGACCGAGACCCAGCTGCCTCTGCTTCTTTTTGACCACTGTTTGAGATTTTTCAACGGCTTCTCCAGGAACTTGGTATTTTTGAAAGACGGGGGTCTCGCTCACCGACAGGTAGGCGGCTGCCGGCGTGCCGTTGAGCCGCAGCTGCATGGGCGAGTCCTGGTTGTACGGCGTGGAGAAGGCGGCCGGCCACGGCGAGGGAACGGCGCCGCCCGCCCCCAGCAGCCAGTACGCCTCGAAGATCTTCAACAGGTCCGCCGCCAGGCAGCCGCAGTCCCGCACCACCACGCCCAGCTCCTTCACCTGGGGGCAGCCGGCCAATCAGGGACCATTAGAGGCCTCTTAGGGGGCTTTTAGGGAGGTTTTAGAGATGTTTTGGGGACGTTTTAGGGACCTTTTACAGACGTTTTAGGGACGTTTTAGGGACCTTTTAGGGACCTTTTAGGAACGTTTTAGGGACCTTTTAGGAACGTTTTAGGGATGTTTTGGGGACGTTTTAGAGACCGACTTTTTATGGACGTTTTAGGGACCTTTTAGGGATGTTTTAGGGGGTGCTTTAGGGACCTTTTAAAGATGTTTTAGGAACGTTTAGAGACGTTTTGGGATGTTTTGGGGACGTTTTAGGGACCTTTTAGGGATGTTTTACGGAACTTTTAGGGACGTTTTAGGGACCTTTTAGAGTCATTTTGGGGATGTTTTAGAGACGTTTTAGGGACGTTTGGAGACCTTTTAGGGATGTTTTAGGGAACTTTTAGGGACTTTTTAGAGGCTTCTTAAGAACCTTTAAGGGTCGTTTTAAGGACCTTTTAGAGACGTTTTAAGGAACTTTTAGAAACGTTTTGGGGACCTTTTATAGACGTTTTGGGGATCTTTTAGGGACGTTTTAGGGACCTTTTATAGACGCTTTAGGGACCTTTTAAAGACGTTTTGGGGACCTTTTAGAGACGTTTGGGGACCTTTTAGAGACGTTTGGGGACCTTTTAGAGATGTTTTAGGGACCTTTTAGAGACGTTTTAGGGACTTTTTATGGATGTTCTAGGGACGTTTTAGAAGCCTCTTAGGGACCTTTTAGGGACCTTTTAGAGATGTTTTAGTGACATTTTAGAGTCATTTTGGGGATGTTTTAGGGACCTTTTAGAGGCCTCTTAGGGATCCTTAAGGGACGTTTTAGTGATATTTTAGAGTAATTTTTGGGATGTTTTAGGGACATTTTATGGACGTTTTAGGGACCTTTTGGGAACGTTTTAGAGATGCTTTAGGGACCTTTAAGAGACCTTTTAGGGACATTTTAGGGACCTTTTAGGCCGATTGAAGAACATCTGCAGACGGTTGACAGCTGGCTGGAGACCAATCAGGAGGGAGATGACCACAGACTGACCAAGAGCTGGCGGGGGGCATGCTGGGTTAGGGCCGGCCAGATTAGTCTTTTACATTTTGAAAATTTAGTAAAGCAAAGCGACCTTTAAAGATCAGCTGACCATCAGTCATGACGCCATCGATCAAGTCTCCAGCTGCCTTTGAGGCAGATCAATCAAACAGATCTGGGCCCAGTTTGGAGAGCCTGAAAGGTCTGACCCGCTCAGACCACCGGTGGGACCAAGTCGGTTCGGTCCGGTTCAAACCCTCTGATCTGCATGAACGTGCGCACCTGTGTGAGGGACCTCCAGTCCATGTTGGCGCTGCCGATGTACAGGTGCTTCTTATCCACCACCCAGAACTTGGTGTGGAGGACGCCCGACGTGAGCTCCCTCATGTTCACCGTTCGGATATCGGCTCCTGGAAAAACAAAGAAAAACGGTATAAAGAAACACAGACTCAAAGAAAATAACAGACCAAAGGTATTTCAGTCCCAACGGGGCATAAGAAAATCCATCAGGTTCAAAAGGACTAGTTGGAACGCTGGGAAATCGACTATTTGTTGTAAACTTTGGAGCAACATGGAGGCAGATGACCGATTAGCAAATGGGAATTGGAAACTTAAAAATATTTTTTTTTTATGGAATTGTGTTTTTGAATGATTAATTTGAGCCCCTGCTAGCTCCAGGGGAGAATTTATCACTCAGTTATCCAGAGAAAACATAACAGAAATGGTCAGTTAATGGATTATGACAGCTGGTGGGGCCCCCTGGTGTTTGTGGGGCCCCCTGGTGGTCGTGGGGGTCCCTGGTGGTCGTGGGGGTCCCTGGTGGTCGTGGCTCTACAGTGAAGCGGTTAAATCAGTTTACAGATCAAACTGAAAGGTCAGAAAATGGACGTTCACAAGCCAAGCGGTCAGCTTAACCCCTTCAGTCCCACACCAAGGTCTTTCTGGTGTTCTTGCCCGAACTCAGGTACTCTGGATGCTCGATCAAAATCAGATTACATAAAAAAGTTTGGGTATTTTAAACCATTTTGGCATCAAATTAAAGCCAGAATCCTTCAGAGATGAGAGCAGAACAGCGGCTGCCATTGATTCAACGTCCTTGACGGTGGAAAACAGACAAACAGGATTTATTATTCTGTGTGTTTGTCCGTGGGGCTCAGAGTGGAGGGCAGCAGACACCTGCGCGGCTGAGCAGCTGGAGGTCGTCCGTGGGCTGCTTCCCCTGGGGGGTGTTGACCGCTATGCGCACGGAGACCTTCCCCGACAGCTGGGCCAGCCTCTGCAGGACGGCCTCCCCCTGTAGAACACCAGCACACAGTCAGACACTGAACCAGGGAACAGGGGGGGGATTCACAGAAGAAGAAGGAGGAGGAGGAGGAGGGGAGGAGGTGGAGGAGGAAAAGGAGAAAAAGAACAAGAAGAAAAAGGAGAACGAGGACATGGAGAACAAGATGGAGGAGAGGAAGAAGAAGATGGAGAAGTATTAGGAGGAGGAGAAGAAAAAGAAAAAGAAGAAAAAGGAGAAGGAGGAAAAGAAGAAAAAGAACCATAAGATGAGGAAGGAGTAGGAGAAGAAGGAGGAGAAATAAAAGTAGAAGTAGAAAAATAAGAATAAGAAGAGGAAGTAGAAAAGAAGACAAAGAGGAATAAAGAGGAGAAAAGAAGAAAAAGAAAAAGAGGAAAAGGGAGGAGGAGAAGGAGGAAAAGAAGAAAAAATACATAAAAAGGAGAAGGAGGAGATGGAGAACAAGAAGAAGGGGAAGAAGAAAAAGGAGGAGAATAAAAAGAAGATGGAGAAGTATTAGGAGAAGAAGAAAAAGAAAAATAAGAAAAGGGAAAAGGAGGAAAAGAAGAAAAAACAAGAAGGAGGAGGAGGATAAAAAGAAACAGAAGGAGGAGATGGAGATGAAAAAGAAGGAAAAGAAGAAGGAAAAGAAAGAGGAGGAGGAGCAGACCTGCTGGGCTGAGGGCTCGTGGGTCTTGGTGTCCTCGTTGGTGAGCGTCCAATAGAAGGAGGCGATGTCCAGGCTGCTGCGCGCCCCCCCCATCAGGCCCATCCAGGCCTGGAAGATGGAGGGATGGCTGGAGGAGGAGTTGAACTGCAGCCCCTCGGGGATGCTCTCCACCAGGACGATGCTGCCGGGAGAGGAGGGATGAAGAAGAGGAGGGAGGAAGAGCAGAGAAACCTTCTGTCCCTCCTTCGCCCTGATTGGCTGTTTCTATATCTGCATCTAATCCAACAGGAGTTAGTCGTTTCTAACATAGCGTTATGGGGTCTTGACCTTTGGCCTTTGGGTTATTTTTGGTTCCTTTCAACAAACAAGCCATAAAGTTTCTATCAGCAAGAACTACCCTCATTTATTTGCAATGCGCTGCATGTAAAATTGTGTTATTATGTCTAAAAAGGACATTTATGAAGCTAAATTGAGGCTTTTTCGCCCGTTCCTCTGCTCCGTTGTGCGTTTCTCAGTGAGGATTTTGGCAAAGATGATTTTAGAAGCTGTTTAAATCTTTCTGATGGCACAAACAGTTCCAGAATCAGAGGAAACGGCAGCCTAAACCGGATGGTTTGTTCCGGGAATGGAGAACAAACAAAAGACAAATGTCTTTAAATCCACATGAACATGAATCCAACAGACTGTAGTGAACAGATAAATGGAGGCAGAAGATGTCTCACATTCAGCCACACACAGGAGCTCTATCTATCTATCTATCTATCTATCTATCTATCTATCTATCTATCT